TATCTCATCTCTGTTCATATCTATCTATCTATCTATCTATCTCAGTCTGTTCATATCTATCTATCTATCTATCTATCTATCTATCTATCTATCTATCTATCTCAGTCTGTTCATATCTATCTATCTGCATCATTTCGATAACATCAAGTGCCCTATGAGGATAAGCATTGCGCCATGTGCCTGCTTTCAATTATGTTCCATGTTGGAAATTATTTGGTAAAAGAGGCCAATGATCGGCCCCAATATAAGGTAGGATTTTGAATGCTGATTTTCTCAGCTTGCATGTTTCCACACGTGGGAGACTGGCGTAACATAATCTTCCAAATCTATTTTTTTCTCGCATTTATTTCCGCGTCATACAAAAATAAGCTTAGGTGACCATCGACTCTGGAATCCTGGCCTTTTTCAAAACTCGAACACTGTCCATACAAGGTTAAATCTAACAGTCATTCGTTGTTTGTTCACACATACAAGCGTGCGCGCGTGCACACATACAGACATACACACATATGCATACACACACAAACACATGCACACACAAACGCGCGCTGTGCACATTAACACTCGCACGCACAAACACACACACACACTTACACATCTCACCTCTCTATTGCGTATGCACACATATATTTGTATATTGGTTGGCAGTTTAAGACCCCACATTAAAAAACAAGGACCTGTTTAGTTGGGGTCATGAATGTGGGGGAGAGTAAATTGAGATTCTACAGTTTTTCATAGCTTAGGCTTTTATGCATGTTTCGGTTTCGATTGAATGTATATTGTGTGCCTGTGTAAGCGATTATGTGTGCGTGTGCGTGGGTGTGAATTACACATCGTCGATTCATTTTAGTCAGAGACAACGGATGACTCGATGAGATGATAAGTAACATCTATGGCCCTAAGTGACGCTCATATTTTACGCACGGCTTGCTATTTAAGAGCGACAAATCTGGCGTAAAGACAACAGTGGTGGACTTAATCGCAATAAGACGATCCATGGGAGACAGCCGCAATTAACAGAACCCGCCCTGCGACTCTCAGCCGGGGGACCGACCTCTGGCGAGGCGAAACATAGAATTAGTTTTGATTTTACAACGAAAGGTTATAATGGAAAATATAACGGCCGTTGTGCCTTGGGAAATCTTGGAATGGCAACCTGCAGCCGAGTGGCACAAGCGGTCGGAGCCCACAAAGGTGCCGTCCGAAGGCTTTGTTCACTCAATAATGACTTACTCAAAATACGGAGAAACGTTTATGATATTAGAATTGGCATTCTGCCCGAATAAGATAACCTCGGCAATATCGCACACACACACACATACGCCATCGCGCGCTTGTATATATATATATATATATATATATATATATATATATATATACCGTACGTACATGATATATATGTAGATGCAACATTTACAGATTAACATACACACACATATACATATACACTCATACATATATAAAACGAATATTTAGATTTAATAATATTGAATTTAATAAAACTTGTTTCTATCTATCTATCTATCTATCTATCTATCTATCTATCTATCTATACATGCATACATACACACACACACACATACATATATGTATGTATGTATGTATGTATGTATAAGCGAAGACTGAGGTCATCTCCTGTTTCATGCTTCAACACAATTTTCATGGCCTGAAGATTGCGTTGTAGCATGAAACACACTGTCGCCGCTGGGTGCTGATTTTAATGTCCATTTTTATATTTACATGCGCTCTATCTCTGATATTGAGCACTTTTATCCATAAATATATCATACCATAAAACTATATGGTTATCACACACACACACACACACACACACACACACACACACACACACATACACATATATATATATATATATATAAATCCGAAAGAGCCAGGAACAACCTACCTAGGTTTCACCTAAACGGATCTTCAGGTGAATCTGGCTAAAGAGGAAATGACATGAAACAATTTTTATTGATAAAACCAGTAAAAACTAATTAGTATAAAACCATGTGATAGAAGAAGACAGGAAAAATCCCTTTAGGATTTATTTTCTTCATCTCAGCTCTATTTAACGTATTGAGCACTCTACGTTTTAGCTTTATTACTCTCTTAGTTTTGGACTAAAACTTAAGGCACTGGACGATTTGTTTCGCCTTGTTCGGATGTTTCTAGTTCTTTCTTTTTTTTCCTCGGGTACTAATTTGTTTTGATATACTTGCAAGTTGTGTTATCCGAGGTTTTTTACCAACCAAGTATTACTATTACTATAACAATAACAATAATAATAATAATAATATATATATATATATATATATATATATATATATATATATATATATATATATATATAAATTACATGGAAATCCAAAATCATATCCTTCAGAATAGCTATTTCAACCCCAACAGATTTTACTTGTAGGCCTTGTCAACTAGAGGTGTGAGGAAATGAAATAGGAGCTTAAAATTGAAACAATTAAAGAATAAAAGTAGAAGAGGAAGATAGAAAAGGGAAAAGAAAAAAAGAAATAAAGAAATCCTCTTAAAAAAAGCCGAATCTGATTTTTACCGGGGCAGATTATGTGCCTACTTTTGGATAGGAGATATTCTGATATAATTTTCAGTCTTTGACTTTCTTGTGATGCAGTAACACTCATGTCAATGCATCGTCTGTATATATGATTTTAGCAGTGATGCATTCAATGATAAGGTTTAGTGCGGTGAAAAGTTCAGTGTAACCCGGTGTCATGCGGCAGAGACGGCTAGGTGCTCCTTTTGTTAAATTAGAGACATTTAAGAGGAGTTTGGATTTGTGGACCTTCCAGAGGTCGTTGCGAAAAATTGCTGCACATGTTGGACATAACGCGTCGGTGTTTTTTTTTTTTTGCCTTTGCCAACAGAGACCACATAAACATTCCTCGCCCTTAGACTAATTTTGAACGCTGATGTTGGCCAAGAGCGGTCCATTTTAAGAGCTGCAGGCATGGCAGAGCGAATATGCAATCCCAGGGGTGTTAACACGCCTCCTGGGAATCGTTTTCATGTAGCATGACCACGGACACGCGTTCCTCTAGCCAGAATTGCCCTTACAAGTTTCCAATATTGTCACGGGTCATCTGGAGGATCGAACGATTCTCTCTAGTGACGAGAACAGATTTGCCTTCATAAGAATGAAGGTCGCTTGTTTGTGTGAAGCAGTCTTGGGGAGTGACATCTTCCAGAACGTATTTGCACACGGCACACAAGCCGAGTCACTAGCATCATGGAGTGGGGGGGGCGTAAGTTACCACTTTCACTCGCCTTTGTTGTTTTGGGAAGAAACTTTGAACAACACCATGTATAGACAGAATATTGTTCAACTCGTTCTCCAAACATTTCAGCAACAGGAAGGCAAAATGTGCTATTCTAGCAGAATAGCATCCGTCTACACAGTGCCCATACTACTCAACATGTTCAAATCTTCCGTCGTCTGCAAGAGAATCAGATCTGTCTCCCATTGAACATATATAGGACACAATAGCCGATGCCTGACTCGTTCTGTTTTTAAACCTATAACTCAAGAATACGTCGAAACATACAAGTGGTGAGGAATAATGCATCGCAATATGTTTAGTCACCATCTGCATGTTCGTATATTTGCATGCACGCAAGAATGCAAGCCCGTGTTAATGCCCAAAGAGAATATACAGTGTATATATATATGATACAACACTTATTTTGGGACCTGCTTGTCATGTATATTGTGGCAGTGTTCACGATTAATAATGTTAAGGATTGTTCTTGAATTTTATCATAAGCGCCCCCTTTATTTGTTGACGCTTTTTTTTCATTTAGAGGTGGTGCATATCAGATTTGTCTTATCGAAGAGTGTGTTGCGTATCAGTGTTGGTACATTTTTATGTTGGTTTAAATGTGTGCGTATAGAAATCTGGTCTGAGAGGTGTGGGGTTAACTAACTTGATCAGTGGATGGTATTGTTTCTGACGTCATTATTTATAAATCTGTTTTCGACGAGAACGCAGTTCCCTATCGGGTATTTGAAATTTTTATCATCAATCAACACGGTCACAGTGTACTAGCCGTATTCGGGAGTTAAGAAATATGTTTACTTTCAACAACTTTTAGACTGTTGACATTAGGCATTACACACAATTTGCAATAACATAACAGAAATCCTTGAAAATGACTAATAGATTAGGCGAACGTGTTAGGTATGAAGAATCATTTGGACAATTTCTAAACACACAGAAAGTCCAAAAAAGAAATCTCTTGTTCGAGAACAAAAATACAATTAAAAAAACTTAACAAAAGTATTTTGTCAGTTATTTTTAACAAAACATGTATTAGAGAAAGATTGCTGTCTAAATACTCAACTAATATATACACATAAATGCTATATCTCATATTTCAGAGCTATATATGTCTGTATGTCTCTGCGTATACGATCATACACGCACGCCCGCGCATGCGCCATGACACACACGTCTATATAGACACGGCCGAAAATCTATATATGTGAATGCTTTCATGTGTAGACGAGGTTATGTGTGATTTTACGACAATATTTTAGTTTAATCTCCTTTCATAGAAAATCTAAAAACGAAAAAAAATAATAAATAAAATAAAGCCAGGGGAAAAAAGGAAAAGAAATTAGTAAGCCATAAATTACTTAGCGATGGTTAAAGAGAGTTTAAAAGATGAACACAAGGGAAATACGGAGAACTGAAAAATATGACGCCGATAAAAAAAATAACATCATCAGTCGATAAAAGATTCAATCAAAATAGAAAATCGGGTGCAGCAAAGCGAGAGAGGAAGAATAATAAAAAAGAAACTCATATAAAAAAAATACAAATAAAAAAGGAGAAAATCTACGGGAAAGACAGAGATACCAAAAAAAAAAAAAATGTAATAAAAAAGAAGAATTTAGGAAAAATTAAATTCGCGTTTTTTTGCTAATGTCGAATTTTTTTTTAATGTAAGGCTACCCCATCAGGTTTTCATTGAAAAAATAATGAAGCAAGAAAGAAAGAAAGAAAGAAAGGAAGGAAGGAAGGAAGGAAGGTACGAAGGAAGGTACGAAGGAAGAAAGAAAGAAAGAAAAAAGGAAAGAAGGAAGAAATAAAGATAGAAAAAAAGGAAGGAATAAAGAAAAGAAATAAGGAAGAAATAGATAAATATAGAAAAAAGGAAGAAAGAAAGAAAGAAATAAAGAAAGAAAAGTACGAAGGAAAAAAGAAAGAAAAAGGAAGGAAGAAAGAAACAAAGAAAGAAAAAAGTAAGGAAGGAAGGAAGAAAGAAAAAAAGAAGGAAAGAAGAAATAAATAAAGATAGAAAAAAGGAAGGAAGGAAGAAAGGAAAGAAGGAAGAAATAGATAAAGATAGAAAAAAAAGGAAGAAAGAAAGGACGAAAGGAAAGAAGGAAGGAAGGAAGAATGAAAGAAAGAAAGAAAGAAAGAAAGGTACGAAGGAAAAAAAGAAAGAAAAAAGGACGGAAGGAAGAAAGAAAGAAAGAAAGAAAGAAAAAAAGAAGGCAGGAAGAAAGAAAGAAAAAAAAGAAGGAAGAAATAAATAAAGATAGAAAGAAAAAAGCAAGAAAAAAAGAAAGGAAGGAAGAAAGAAAGGAATAATGGAAGGAAGGAAGAAAGGAATAAATAAATAAATAAATAAAGACTATTAAACAAACGATTCATTCAGAATAGAAAATTGTACGCAAGGAAGCGGAAGAAGAAAATAACTGATATTAAAAAAACAGTCATTGTACCCATCACTCCCATCCCAACCCCGTATATATTTGCGTTTAAATCTTTTTCTACGTCAGCAGAAGAATCCACTACATGAATTGCCACTCACTATGTAACGGAATTGCTTCTATTGATGGAATACAAATTCCCAAATAGGTTTATACCCAAAAATACTCTGCTGAAATAATTTTTAAATTATCATTAGCTTTGGATATAGATAATAATTTTTTAAAGATAGACTGTAACATAGTAATACATTGTTTCACTGAAAAATATAATTTTTTTCCATTTGTAGCACGGGGGGGGGGTCAAGTCAGCGGATCGATTCTTATCTGTCTCAATTTCTGTGATGAACATTTATCATTCAGGCTATTATCCTAACCTTTATTGTTATTATCACGATGTTTCGGTTATTGCGTCCTCACCCCGGGTCTTCTTCAGGTGCTTGCCAATCCGGGTAACCATCGGGAATGTTGAATTGGATATTTTATTTGATCTCTAAGCTAGATTGTTCTCGTCCCGCTGACCACGTCTGTTGATATCTCATCGTCCTCTTATTAATTTTTTTTATTGCTCACTTATTGCGCGCCATGTTTCCAACGAGTCTAAGTTTGTAATACCCGACTCAGGGATTGAACTTACAGTTACTATGTAACCAAATTCCAGGTCAATTCTTATCTTTACTTAATTTTACTTTTAATTTAATTTAGTATTCATGAAGTATTGAACAGCAAGAAAATGCAGAACGACAAAAAGGTCTGGGTATTTTATAAGTATATTGAAATTGTAGAATTACTTAAAGATAGAAGCGTGATATTTTGATGTGGAAAACTCATGAGTAAACTTCTGTCGCTATTAATTAAATACAACTCATTAAATTATTAGGATTATTAGATGCTTAAATGTTTTTCATATTAACTTCTATGATAAATATATCAAGAGACTTTCCAGAATTAAGAATATCTAAAATATGCTTTATAAAAAGTGAATAAGTCTTCGTCTTTAACGAACACAGTTTTAATTGGCCACGTGGTTGAATAAAAAAAAATGTACAATTTGATGGTAGGCACAATGTATACAGACATTCTTACACATTAGTTTATTTCGATGATGCGGTGAACAATTGTCCAGAATAAGAATTTTTCAGTTATTCCAGTTGATCTGTAGGTCTGCAATATAGTCATAAAGTTTGGATAAATGGTAAAGGTAATAGCCATTTCCTTATAAGGAAACATTCGACATTTGTTGATCGAGTATTACTGTCGGCTGAAATCTATAAACTCTTTCTCTTAAGTCATTTTTCAAGAAAATAGGTTTCTCAAGTCCAGTATCTGTTATCGCTCTTTCCAATATTGATGGGAGTTTCCTTCCTACCCTTTTATTTGAAGTAGTGTAGAACGTCAACATTTTGGTTATATCATTATTTTCTCTACGTGTTATGTGTGCTATACATTTTAGTAATTGGCGCTGCTGTACGTCCTCAGTTGATTTAATTTCCGTTATCTGATGTAGTTCTTTGTTTCGGGTGCAAATAGTTATTTAACGGAAAATCGATGTTTCTGGAAGAAAGAATTACAAGAAAGAAAGAAAGAACATAATCAGTACACAAAGATAAACTAAAAAAAAATTGCAAAAGAAATAAAAGAGTCACTACAAATAAAGAAAATATAAACAGGAAAATTGGGAAATATTTTAAATTCTACTTTTTCTTCCATCATTTTTTTTAATGCTCGGCTGACTTCTAAGTTGTGCCGCTTAGCAAAAACATCCAATATAAATTGACTTCTCGTGATTTTATGGCAATTAATACGTTCATATTTTTCAATAAATACAAAGCATTTTTTTTAACTCATTTATTTGTGCTCACCATCATCAGAAACATTTTTTTCCCATCACCAGAAACATTTTTTTCCTATCACCAGAAACATTTTTTTCCCATCACCAGAAATATTTTCTTCCCATCACCAGAAACATTGGATTATATTTACCGTCCACCTTAAAAGCTTCTTTTAAATAAGCTTTCGTTTAATTCAGAAGCTTCTAGAGTCAATGCTTCTATTTAAAACAAAGATTCTTCAACATTAAAATATTAAGATGATTCAAGTGTTTAAAGCGCCATTTTTACTCATTATTTGGAAAATCTTAAAAAATCTTTTTGATCTTAACTCAGCTCTTTATTACTTGTACGCACGCATGCAGTAAAGATTGTTCGTACATGAATAATAATTTTATTTTGTTTTGGGAACGATTAAGACTGAATATGAAATGCACATTTGATACTGGTTACTCATAACTTTTGAGAAAAGGTGCAGCGAAATGTATAAACACGCGTTGGTAATGGTTTGCAATATTTAGAAATATAATTTTGAGTTCAAGAACAAAAACAGTTCTGAAGAATTTACGAGTACATGGGATTTTTGTATGTGCGTGTGACTTTGTAGTGAAATGTATATCTGTTTTAATCTTTGAGTTGTTCAGTGCGATTTTTTCTGCGAAGATTTCTGTTAGAGAATAGGAATGTAAGTTGTTACTGCAGAAGAATAAAACAAAATAACATTTCTGGATACAAAGAATAAACTACAGAAAATAATAAAAAAAATTGATAAAAAAAATAATAAAAGAATAAATATCTGCGATTATTCAACAGAAGAAGTTATTTTTATTTGTGATTATACTCACTTCCCTAGTTTGGTGAAAGTGTTGAATTCCTATTTTACTACGAGGACAGTTGTTGACGAAAGAGAAAAAGCCAACTTCTTTTCTGGAAGTTGTGACATTAAATATCATTTTTTTGAATGATGAGAAAATAAATATTTGTATATGTGTGTGTGTGCGCGCGCGCGGGAAATCTTATTTTAAATTAGTTCTGACCACTAAATATACCAGAGAAAGCAACAAAAATAATTTTGTTTTTATCAACAGAAATTTCTGACATTTGACAAATTTTAATAGCCGGAAACCTATTTTATTAGATGAGATATAGACCAGAGGAAGGCTGAAGAATGTATCAGCCAAAGTGTATGAATAAAACCAACAAATGTAACCAAAATAAATATGAAATATAATAAAATCACATCTTTATTATTATCGGTCTGAATATCACTGCTTTGTTTCAATTTTACAGCCAGAATGATTTTCATTATCACTTTCAATAACACCGCGTTCTTTACAAATCCATTTCCCTATTTTTATACATGATTAGCTAAGATTCTTACATTCTCAGTAAACCCTCTTACTCCTTAGTGGTTTTATAACCTTGCTTGGTGGTAAAATGATTAAAAAAATGTTCCTACGCGATTTTCTAAACTCATTCTTAAAAACTCAACAATTTCTATCTTCATATTTAATAAGTCTATATTTTGACAAATTTAAATCTTTCTCTATTCAAAGGATTTTATCTGCATTTCTACACGAATATATAACGACAAACATGCGAAAAAAGTTCGAATAAATCAATATATAATAATTACATATATATATATAAATCAATATATAATAATTATATATATAAATCAATATATAATAATTATAAATATATAAATCAATATATAATAATTATATATATATATATATATAAATATATAAATATATTATAAAATTATATATATATAAATATAAATCAATACATAATAATTATATATATATAAATCAATACATATATAATTATATATATAAATCAATATATATATATATATAAATCAATATATAATAATTATATGTATATAAATCAATATATAATTATATATATAAATCAATATATATATATAAAACAATATATAATATATATAAAATTTATATAATATATATATAAATCAATATATAATAATTATATATATAAAATCAATATAATATATATATATATATTATATATATAATTATATATATATAAAATAATATATAACATTATATATATATAAATCAACATATATATAATAATTATATATATAAATCAATATATAATAATATATATATATATAATCAATATATAATAATATATATATATATATAAAATATATATATATATATATAATATATAATATATATATATAAATATATAATATATATAAATATATATATAATTATAATTATATATATATATATATATATATATATATAAATCAATATAATAATATATATATAAATATATATATATATATATAAATCAATTATAATATATATATAATATCATATATAATAAAAAAATATATATATATATATATATATATATAATATATAAATAATAAATAATTATTATATATATATATATATATATATATATAAATCAATATATAATTATATATATATTATATATATATATATATATATATAAATCAATATATATTATATATATATACATAATAATATATATGTATATCAATCAATATATATAATTATATATATATATATAATATAAAAATCAATATATAATAATTATATGTATATAAATCAATAATATATATATATATTATTATATATATATAAAATAATTATATATAAAATCAATATATAATAATTATATATATAAAATCAATATATAATAATTATATAGATATAAATCAATATATAATAATTATATATATATATAAATCATTATATAACAATTATATAATAAAATAACATAAAATAATATTTATATATAAAATCAATATATAATAATTATATATATATAATTGTTGTGTAATAATTTACATAAATGGAAATTAAATATATATATAGTAAAAGAAATTGAATCAATATATTTTATCAATTTATATATAAAAACTAACAAATATTATATTCTTTGTTTCAATACATTTTGTTAACGTACATATTATTCCATGCTTATTTAAAAAATATATATAAATCAATATATAATAATTACATATATATATATATAAAATCAATATATAATTAATATATATATATATAAATCAATATATAATAATGATATATAGATAAATCAATATATAATAATTATATATATAAATATATATATTATTATGTAATAAATCAATATATAATAATATATATAAATATATATAATAAATATATAAGTCAATAATATTATATATATAAATATATATAATAATATATATGAATATATAATAATTATATATATATATACATAAAATTATATATATAAAATAATATTATATATATATAAATCAATATATAATAATTATATATATATAAATCAATATAATTTTATATATATAAATAATATATATATATATATATAAATAATATAATAATTATATATATATAAATCATATAATATATATATATAAATCAACATATATATATATATATAAAATGAATATATAATTATATATATATATAAAATCAATATATAATAATTACATATATATATATATATATATAAATAATATATAATAATTATATATATATAAATGAATATATATATATAATATAAATCAATATATAATAATATATATATATATATGTATAAATCAAATATATATATATAATAAATAATATAATATTATATATATAAATCAATATATATATATATATATATATATATATATATATATATATATATATATATATATATATATATATAAATCAAAATATATTAAAAATTATATATATATAAATCAATATATAATTATATATATATATATATATAATTATATATATATATATATATTTATATATATATATATATATATATATTTATATATATATATATATATATATAATAAATATATATATATATATAATATATATATATAAATATATATATATATATATATATATATATATAAAACCAAAATCATATTAAAATCAAAATTATAAAATTATATATTATAAAATCAATATATAATAATTCCTACTTTCTGCATCGAAACGTAGAAAGATTGTGTTATGTCGGTCTTTTAAATTGAGAGTGTTTGTTAAATTTGATGATTAACTTTACAAATATTCGCTTTTACAAGGATTCAAACATCAACCTCTGTTCTTGGTAGGAAATTTTGATATTCCTTAAGCTTAGTTTTGTCTCTCCCAATAATTGCTTGATGACAATGTAATCAAATAGGCAAATATTAGTCTTTGTTTCGTGGGTTACGGCCATATCACTTTGAAACATCGGTTCTCGTACAATCATCAAAGTTGAGCATCGTCGGGTCTAGTCATTACGCGCAAATACCATTGAAAAAGACATGAATCCAACTCTTTTGTCCCCAGCTATGTATTAGTAATTCATTATTAATTCCTAAAAAATTATTACAATCTAAAAAAAATGTCTGGCATTAAATAACTTGCAAAGGGTTGATAAGCCATAAAAAACAAATCAATACAGCTTTGCTTAATCTAGTACAAGGCTACAATAGTACGATGCCGTATAAAGACTGAAGTGACTGTCTGAAATGTTTTACGGTAGGTGTAAATATTCGCTTCAGTCAGTTAAGAGCCATGCGTGATACACGCTTAGGCGATCATATATCTTTCGATACATGACTGACGAGGGAGATTTTTTTCCCCGCAGTAGGTTGCCATTTCTTTCTACGGTAAACCAGTTGCCATCCAAGGCTGTAAAACCCGGTCTGTCCTGCCATTTACCTATAGCTGGGGGGAGAAGAAGAGGATTTCGCAAGGTGTGAATTTACGTAAGTGAATGTAATGGATTCGACTGCAATTCGAACTCGACTCTCTGATTCCTCAATCCGGGCCTCCCTTACTTTTTAGAAAAAGATAAACCTTGTCTTTTTTTTAATCTCTTTTCAAGTTATTGATTCCTTTTCAAATCATCTGTCCTCTCCCTTCAGTTTTTCTCTAAAGAGGTTCTTCCCATTGCCGTATTTAACAAATCTACACAACAGTTATTGGTCCAACTCTGCTTGCACTCCACTGCGTACAATAAAAATTCAAATAACCACTTAATAACAACTAATTCAATATTGTTCACCTTTTTTTGCTTGCTAATTCGCAATGCTGGGGGAAAGCGAGTTACGATTCAAAAATTACTTCCTATCGAGAACAGCATCATCATGCAACAGTGGACATTGAAGAAGAGAGTGAGAGAGGGAGGAGAGAGTGAGAAGAGAAAGAGGGAGAGAGAGAGAGAGAGAGGAGTAATAAAAAGTGAGAGTAAGAAAAACAAACACAATAAAAGAAAGAAAGAGAGAACTAATGACGGGAGAATGGGAAAGTGATAGAACGAAAAGAAGAGAAAAAGAAATGATGAAAAGCTGAGAGAGAGAGAGAGAGAGAGAGAGAGAGAGAGAGAGAGAGAGAGAGAGAGGAGTAATAAAAAAGAAACACCGTAAAGGAAAGAAAGAGAGAACTAATGACAGGAGAAAGAGAAAGTGATAGAACGAAAAGAAAAGAAAAAAGAAATGATGAAAAAAGGGGAAGAGAGAGAGAGAGAGAGAGAGAGAAAATAAATAAATAAAATGAGTATGAAAGAAAAAGAAAGAAAGAGAAAAGCAATGGAAAGAGAGAATTAATAAAAAGACAGAAAGAAATACTAATAACGATAGAAGCATAGAAAGAAAGAGAAAAAGAAGGAAAATAATGAAAAGAGAGAAAGTGATAAAAAGAAAGAAAAGAAGGGAAATAAAGAGAAGTAGTGGGAGAAAAAAGAGGAGGAGGAGGTGTGGAAAAGAGAATGAGTATCATTCATAAGGAGAGATAAAAAGAGTTAATGAGAAGTTGGAAAGAGAAAAAAGAAAGATAATAAAAGGAGGCAGAGATGGAGAGAGATGGAAAGAGATAGAGACAGAGCGGTATCATGTGATTTCCCTCTCTCTATCAGCTTCTAATATTTCTATTATTCTGTAACAACACTAGATTTACTAAACATAGGTTAGTACAGAGTGAAGATAAATAGATGTAAAGATTGTGTTGCGTCAGTCTTGTCAGTGTTGGCGGATAGGCGATCTTGCCAAAGTTTCCTCTCATTGTTCCTACTCTAGCCTCTTTTCATTTTCATTATCAGTATTAACTAACACGTGGAAACTCCACGGTTGTTAACAATTAACATTAACCATAATAGTTAATATTAGTAGTTAACACGCTTCTACTTTTCTTTCATCTTTTGCCTGTATCTTCTCTTTCTCTTCCTTATACCTTCCAATCTTTGTTCAAGTTTTTTTAACGAAATGTTATAAACAAATGGATTAGTTTCGTATGCAAATAATAGATACAATAGATACTTTCAAGAAGTGCAGAAAAGGAACAATTAGCCTAGAACTTACAATTACTATTAGCAATTTCAACATTGAAATTATGAGACTTCACTGCCAATCTAGTACTGCGCTTAAATGTGTAAAGTCAAGGTACCGACGAGGAAAGTTCATCAGAACAGTATTTATAGGAGGCAAAGGGAAGCTATGATACGACAGTGGTAAAAGAACTGAAGCCGAGATGCCAGGGCAGGACCGATAACATTGTCGATTTTGTCAAAAGTCTCTAGATATAAAACAGAAGCACCAGATCAAATGAGGCAGTAATATTCGATGCACGGACGAATTCTAGAATTATAAATACGTAAAATAGATTTTAGCGGGAAAAAAGTATCTAGTAGAACATAGTTAACCGACTTTACTAGTACCATACTAAGCAATTGGTTTAATAAAATCATTTCACTTCATGTCAGTGAAAAATTTATGAGTTGCATTCTTGGAGGTTAGCATCAGCCCTACTGACGGAAGGCAAAAAAAGTCCTTTCAAATGATTAACAGAAAGCAGTTTCGTTTTAGAGACGTTAAAATTAACAAACCACTTCTTGCCCCAGTTAACAACAGATTGGAGTTCATATTCAAGATCAGCTGCCAATTTGACTTTATCGAACCTACTAAACTTACAGGAGTAAATAGTAGTTTTGTCACCAGCATAGATACCAAGATGGTAACTGATGACATCGGGAAGGTCGTTAATGAAGATCAGAAACTGAGTAGGTTCAAGACTAGAGACCCTGCGGTGCGCCTGCGTTAATGAAATAAAAAAAGAAAGTATTATTGAGGCGTAACCGTTCAAGACAACATTCACCACGTGTTTTTATAAGAAAAGTTGAATAAAATCAAATAAACAGTCAGAATCACCGTAACATTTCAAGCTGGGAACAAAACCAGCATACAAATCCTGTTAAACGTCTTGGAAATGAACTCAAATAGCGGACCGAGCTTCACCCTTCTTATCTAAAGCTTGGCAGACTTTTTCAGCAATGACCATCAATACATGGGCGGCTGACCTAGAGAGAGGCGAAAGCAATATTGTTTGTTTGAAATAAGAACCTATGACATGAGATGTTTAGCCAATTCGAGTTTATTGGAGCCTCGATTAATCTACCGAAGAGAGGTAGAATACTAATAAGTCGACAGTTCGAAGGATCAGATGGTTCGCTTAGAGTTCTTAGAACTAGGAACTACAGAAGAAAATTTCCAACCATCTAGAAAGTAAGAAGCAGAAGAGAGAAGAAGGGTCAGTTCAAAGGCGCATTTCTTATGTACAACTGCAGCGATACAATCGAGTCTACGTGCTTTGTAGGGATCAAGTTTGGAGATGATATTGAAAACCATGTGCTGAGTTATATGCATATCATTCTATGGTCTTTGTTCCATGCTATCTTCCTCTTTGCCGAAAAGATTCTCATTTGCATGGCCTCGGTGTTTATATTCAGGAAAATCTCCCAAGTGCAAGGAAGCTGTTTCTTGAGTCCCCAGATGATTATTTCATGTGATTTCGACTTTCGTTATTGTATTCTTTTTTTTTATCTCTTTTTTCTTAGGACTGAAATATATTTAATAACATTTCTGATAATATAGAAATGGCTCTTTCTATCCATTCATCTGGGAATATTTTTGTGTTTAGTGATTTTCATGCTGATCACATCAACCGACTTAAGCATTCTAATCTTACTGCTGTTGCAGGCATTAAAACTTTGAATTTCCCCGTTGCTCAGTCTCTTACTCAAATAGTAAATTTCCCTACTCATTTACATAATAAATCTGATGAACATGCTTCTTTACTTGTTTTGTTCCTTACCTCCTCTCCTAGCTCTTGTCGAGCCTCACAAATCTGTCCTCATGGCAATTCCGATCACGCTGTAGTATCTATCTATATAATGTTTCACACTACTTTCTTGTTTATCACTGTTTTCCAGGTTTTACTTTATTGGTTCTTTTTTCTATTTCCCAAGTCAATCTGTATCTAGAAACCTTTACTTTTTTTTCTACAAGCCTCTTTTTGCACACGCGCACACACGCATACAAATACATATATTTAAATAGATTCGTTTTTTTTTCTTTTCTTTCTCACTTCTCTTTCTCTCGACGAAAACGACTGTTCTCAATATTTGCTTACTTTTTTTCCCTTCTCCACGCGTTCTTTCTGCTTTCATTTTCTGTCAACAGATGGGGCCACCATCACTGCTTTCAACCACCAACTATCCACCTGGGCAAGTCTTGTTTTCTATACAAAACTAATGACGCGTAACGCTCAGAAAGGAGACCTATTTTACCACAGCACGGAAGAATAAAAAAGGGCATATAACCGACAAAAAAAGAAAGAAAAATTAAAAAAAAATCGATATGGGATATAAATACCGAGTCATGAAACTGCAAAACGTGTCACTTATTTTCATTTCTTAGCGTCAATTGTTGGCTTCATGTTGCCACCATCAAATGGATACAAAATCTGCACTTTGGCAATATCGAAATGACAAGAGACATTTCATTTTTGTTAACAGTTGCTTTGATTTTGTGTTTTCCTTTTTATCAATTCTTGCACAAACATTATTTTCAACAACATTTACTTCAAAATGCATGTCATTATACGTGCTAATAATATGCTACTTAAAGATTTACTGCATATTTTTGGATAGGTCGACTGTAAGACTAACATTAACAAATATTGGGTTCATTCTGTTTATTAACCACGAGACTATTTCGTAAAACTTTAAGACTACATCAATATCGATTATTTGGTTTGTATTTTTTTACGGTTTATCAACCCTTTGTGGGTTATTTAAAGCCAAAACATATTTTGAATTGTGAAAATAATTCTTTTTTACGAGGGAATATTGCTTTAACAATTTTTTTAGAGAATAACTGATTTTTTCAGATACAAGAAACGAATGGGCTTCAGGAATTAAATTCGTGAACCGAGGTTCAACTCTATTATTATTATTATTATTATTATTATAATTTGGTTTTGTTTTTGAGAGGGATAAAAGACAGCCGAATCAAATCGAATTCATTTCTTAAAATTCTTGATGTTGCTATTGGTGAAATATTATGTAATATCAATCCACTTGAATTCTGGATCTATTTTACTATTTAACCTATAGTTGTAAAGGTGAGATGGATTCATACATTTTCCAAGATTATTTGCACGTTAGTGAATTTACATTCACTGACGAACTCGACTGGGATTTGAACTCGGCTCTCCGAATTCTCATTCCGAGCGGGTATTAATTACACCGACGGGCATAGCGCCACATCAAGATATTCAATCTTTATAAATGTGGATTCAAATTCCAAATGGGTTACCTTTATAAGGCGTTTCGTTCTGATTTCACATTAATTATTTTATTTTTTTTATTTGTTTTGTAGAAAGATAACAAATAAATAAATAAATCCGTTTTCAAATAAACGTTTTCTCCTTGCTGCATTCAGTCCTACATTCTACCACTTGAATCAAACTAGAAAATTCTTATTAGCATTGATAGATCTTGGGCGCATATGCAGATAACTAATTATCTGTAATTAACGGAGTTGACAATCATAAGTGTACAGAGAGAGAGAGAGAGAGAGAGAGAGAGAGAGAGAGAGAGAGAGGAGAGAGCTCGCGCGATTGATAGACAGACAAGGGCAGGCAGAAACAGAGATAAGAGAGATAGATATACATGAACAGACTGAGAGGGATACATAGCTAGGAAGATAGAAATGAAAAGACAGATAGATAGATAGGTATGAAGAGAATGAGACAGATACAGATAGATAAAAAGAACAGATGTATATAAGTAGATGCAAGCAGGCCGAAATAAACACATCCACACACACACACACACACACACACACACACGCACACACACACACACATATATATATATATGTATATATGTGTTTGTTAATTAAAATACAGTATAAAATATAAGATAGTAGATGGCAAAAATTGTCTGTAAACAGCCGCGTTTAAGAAGCTGCAATCCCAGCAAGCGCTCAATACAAAATCCGGAAAATTTGAGTTGTAGACCAAAATGCAATTAAGAGCACCAACATTCACGCTACAAGGCTACCCAGGTTTCGATAGTTAGGACTCCTCAGACAGGTAGGATGAAAGATTTTAGTTGACTCCACTACCTTTATGAAACTTGGGTAGTGTGGTAGCTTGAATTTTGGTGTTCCTAATTATATATATATATATATATATATATATGTGTTTGTGTGTGTGTGCATTTCAGTAAGGTTCTCGCTGTACAAGGCCCTGGGATCACTCGAGGTAGAGGGTTACGTTAAAGAGTAGTTTATATGGGCAGGAGGGGAAGATAACGATTAACTCTAGACTTGAACAGATTAAGATTGTAGTGATTGGGGGAAACCATCCTGCATAGGGCCGTGGTTAGCGGAAGGCTGTTTGAGTAGAACTTGCTTCTCGGGGGGAATGTGGGTGGTTTGTTATTATGTAAATAGCATAGCTGGTCCTAGTCGTAAGGGTCAGGACTGGTGGAAGATCGTCTGAGCACTTTCCATGGTAGTAGCGACAGAGCGGTGAGAGGCTTGCAACATCCCACCTGTGAGAGAGAGAGATTTTGGAGTGTAAAAAATAATTCTTCTCCCACAAGGACTCGGAGACGCTTTAAAACTCTATCGAAACTGGAAAGTGAGGTCTGGACAACTGAATACTCCATTTTCGGCCTGATCTAAATAATCTTATATAGGTAGAGGATAGCATAAGGAGTCAGATACTTACTGGAGCGGTACAGGGAGTCGATCATTTTAACTTCATCTTTAGCAATGGATCCACTTGAGGTCAGGTTTGAGTTTGAATCCCAATATCCTCTCAAGACATGGGGCCTCCTCGAGGGGACATCTGTTCATCGTGACTGGCGGTAGTTCGGGATATGATAGGTGATGACGAAATGTAACCAGTTTGATTTTAGAGGCATTGAATGTAACCAGCCAGATTTATTCCATATTGGGAAGAGAGGTCATCTGGCAATCTCGGATCATCAAGACTTTTAGAGGTACGCCCGTATATCGCCATATAATCGGCATAGACGTTTACAAATGATCAGAGTATATTCTTAGGTAGATCATTTATGTAAATCAGAAAGAGGCTTAATACAAGAAGTGAGCGTTGAGGGACTCTGCGTTGACCGCCAGGGCCTCGGAGGACTGTCCGACAATAACTGCCTTCAGGGATCTACCTGTTAGGAAAGCTTTTATAATAGAGAAAACTTTTCTAGTGATTGCATAGCTGGAGTGCTTGTGTAGCAAACCTTTGTGTCGAAAACGTTCGAGATATCTAATGCTATGGTCCTTGTGGTATGTGTGTCGTCAATGGCCTCACAAAATCTGCGTGTAATGGTAGTTAAGACGTCAGGAGGGGATAGGGATGATCGAAACCCATACAACTTGCCGCACTAGAGGGTTGTTCCTATTTATGTGCTCGTCGACCTTCTTGTTGATTAAGGCCTCAAAAATATTACTGATGATACCGAGGAGTCTAATGGGTCTATACTGGGAGGAAGGGGATCAGTTGCCCGCGTTCTTGAAGACCGGGCATACGCTTGCTAACTTCCACATGTTTCGGAGAGGTTTCTCTATCAAAAAACGGTTAAATAACTTTGCTAGAACCGGGAAAAATTCTGGGTTGATATTTTTAAGGACGACTACTGGGATTTTATCTGATCCAGTGACTTTCTTTGGGTCTAGGCATTTGATAACTCTAAAGACGTCTCTTGCTGAAATCAGTATATTACTAAGATTGTGTTCAATGAGACATGGCAAGTTGGGGAGGGGATGACCTTTGTCATCTAACGTTGAGTCTGAAGCAAAGATCAAGTCGAAGAGCATCGCCTTGTCTGTCGAGGATGATATTCCCTTGGGGTCATTTATTGCCCTACTGTTCACAATTTGGTTGATGATCTCTTAGCGATTACGGCGATTCTGAAAGAAGTAAGGGCCAGACTATACCGTAAGTGTGTTTCCGGTGAGCTATGGCTGCAGCACATTCAGGGGTGAACCAGGGCTGGCTGTGGTTTTTGCTGGAATGTTGCGGGTATAAAACATTCCATTTCAGAAAGGATCTATTCGGAGATTAGTGCAGCAGTTTCGGGGTCAGCATGTTTGAAGAAGTTTGGAAGAGGAGCTTCCATCATGTAGGACCGAATGCTGTCCCAGTCTGCTTTTGCAAAAATAGAACGGTAAATCAGGGGAATGTCATTGGTTTGGAGTCAATCTGGACACTGATTAAGGAATGATCTGACGTGCCAATGGGGGATAAAAATGTTTGCTGAGCATTTGTCAGGGAAGGATGTTAGAAAAAGATCGAAAGAGAAAAGAGATCGAGGTTAGTTCATATGCGATGGAGAAGTCTCTGCAATATCTGCCTTTCTCATCGGTTTTGTTAGAGTGGACTAACCACTCTTTGTGGCGAACATTGAAGTCACCGCATATGTGAAAGTTTGCAGAGGGAAATTCGGTGAGGATATTGTTAATCCTCTCTGAAATTTGATCGAAGATTATCGACTCTTCCTCTTGAGGACGATACAGGGAAAAGACGAATTTGGTATAGGTGCCACGCGGAGGCACATATACAAAAGCTCAGAGCCCTCTTTTTTGTGTCCCTGCCACAGAGAAACACGTTTTGATGTAGGTACCAAGCCTGTGACCGTGGCGACTTAGGTGGTCGTATTTTGTTATAATGTGTGAGTAGCCCGGGATTGTGAGCTTCTGCAATGGGATTGAGGCATTCATGCCTGCTTCAGACAGAAGCAGGAGGTTAGGTTGAACCTGAAGATGAATTTTCACTTCCGGAAAATTGGAACGTAGACCTCTTACATTGGTATATGAGATGGTATAACTGGGGTCTATATTTTTTTTTAGATTGGGTTTGCTAGCTTTGTTCATTTTCAATTGGATTGCTTTCATGTTTGTTTTGGTTGATTTAGTGGATGGCTAAAAGGCAGTGAAACAGTCACCCATTGGAAATTCACACATGAATAACTCGCGTTGACTCGCCTGGAGATACCCCCGTAACAGTACCCATAATCATCGTATCAAGAGGCCCCGCCGGAGACTACTGCATGGTCAAGAAACCATTTACAGTATGGCAGTACAGTAGACCTGTTATTATACACCTGCTGATTGCATAGCAACTTTCAAAGTTACTCGAAGCTTCGTCGGGCCCCCCCTCCCATTGTAAAAAAAAACCCGTTTACCTCCAGTATCCTTAATGAAGGAGCAAATAACCAAGGAAAGGTTCAGGCGCGTATTTCCGAGTGTATATGTCTCGTCCACCTAAAGGCACTAAAAATCAGGGCAACAGAACTCTTCCTTGGGTCAGAAACATCGTACCGGCCATAGACCTAGGGTACCAAGGTATACTTGCGCATATACATGAAGACTAAAAAGACCTTTGGGAGAAGGGTGTGACTACGGTTGTTCAGGGTGCATGTGCGTCCTCTAAATAATTTGAGTTAGGATGAGGGAAATTAATTCTTATATATATATATATATATATATATATATATATATATATATATATATATGTGTGTGTGTGTGTGAGAGAGAGAGAGAGGGGGGAGAGGGAGGGCGTTAAATTAACATGTAATTACTCCTGTCACAAAGCGAGAATTTTGACACTTGTTCAGAGAATTCATCAGAATCGGCTGACCAAGGGGAAAGAGTAAAGATTAAGGATGGTCGTGATAGTTATAAAGTTTTAACTTAATATATCTCCTAAGATCCCCGCTTTGGAAAGTGTACAATATTTTCACATGGGCCAGTCTACCATGCAAGAAAAACTTTTAATAAATATAATGTGATCGACAATTAGCATCAGGTAAATCTGCAGGAAAAAGGCACAGACATCCGTAGACACACACACACACACACACACACATTATATATATATATATATATATATATATATATATATATATATATATAAGGAAGAGGTTATAGTAGTTCCAACGAGAGAAAAAAGTGTATATTAAAAAGAAGAGAGAAGCCGCAAAAGTTTTTTGGTTGCAATGTGGATTTTAAAAAAAGATATTATGTTTTATTTTACATAATTTTGCTACACGTGTTTCCGGTCTCGCCACCGTCATCAGGCAAAAGTTGGAGATTTCCACATATTATTAAAATAATTCATTTTCTTCTTTATGTTTTTCGATGTTAAATATTCTCGATATGAGACATTTTTTTTCTGTTAGTGATCCAAACGTCTTTCTTGAAGTGGCAAGGAAAAGTTCTCCGTGAAGGGTTATAAAACAATTAAGATTAGTTTGAGAAATGATGGAGTAGTTATCGGCATGCTTATCTTTTAATGACCCCTGTGTGTTCTTAGATCTATTTTCATTCATGTAATTTATTCAGAAAACATTGCTTGTTGGCTACAAGATAAACTTCGAGAGTTGATATTTTCCGATGACAACAGAAACATTCGTAAAGTTTTGCTGCTGCTGCTGCTCAGCCAAAATAATGACACACAGGCATTAGATCATAAAATCTTTCTTGTAACCATCGTTTTTGCGCCTCAGTCACGATGACTGAGGCAAAGGAAAGACGTGGAAATGTAGGCACACATACAATTTGCCACTTGAAAACGGGTACTGCTTGGATTTAGGTTAAACTTTTTAAAAAAGTATTTAAAATAATTTAGATATCTACTCTTTATTAAAATTTCGGATTTATTCGGAAT